CTGATGATACCCAGCTCTACCTCTCGTTTTCCACTAATCCAGGTGAGGCAGTGGCTGTGCTGAACCGGTACCCGGCTGAAGTAATGGGCTGGATGAGGGCCAGTAAACTGAAGCTCAATCCAGACAAGACGGAGGTCCTGTTGATTGGCGGATTGGGCTTCGGAGAGGGTGGATTTGACCTGGTCCTGAATGGGGTTGCACTCCATCTTAGGGACAAGGTCCGCAGCTTAGGAATACTCCTCTACCCGGAGCTTTCATTGGAAGCTCAGGTGACAGCGGTGGCGAGGAGCGTTTCCTTCAGCTTCGGCTGATTAATCAGCTGCGCCTCTACCTGGAGTACGACTGCCTGGCAACGGTGACACACGCGCTGGTGACTTCCTGCCTTGACTTCTGTAATGCGCTTTACATGGGGCTTCCCTTGAAGACGGTCCGGATACTTCAACTGGTTCAAAATAGAGCTGCCAGGTTGCTGAGGGGGATGGGGTGTTATGTTCACATGACTCCAGTCCTCCGTCAGCTTCACTGGCTTCCCATTGCAGTCCGGGCCCAATTCAGGATGTTGGTTATGACCTATAAAGCCCTAAACGGCTTGGGTCCTGGTTACCTGAAGGAGTGCTTACATCCATATATGCCCGACCACCCCTTGAGATCTGCGGGAGAGGCCCTTCTCCGGGAACCCTCCGTGAAAGAAATTAGGAGGGTAGGTACTCGGAGGAGGGCTTTCTCTGCGGTGGCGCCCAATCTATGGAATGCGCTCCCCAGAGCGCCTGGCGCCGTCATTTGTTTTTCGGCGCCAGGTGAAGACCTTTTTATTTAAATGTCATTTTAATTGTTAACAATATTTGCTTATTTATCTGGCCAGGGTGACTTCTTTTATAACTTCTCTTATATCTTTTATTTATTTTAGATTGTTAATTTTAATTTTATATTGTTATTTTTGCATTTTATTGCATTTTATTGTGTTGTAAGCCGCCCCGAGGCTTCGGCAAGGGGCGGCATAGAAATGTTCTAATAAATAAATAAATTTTGCCTCCTCTAAACCTGACCACTTCTGGGGTCTGGCAAGAAAGTAGGGAAGTGCAAGAAGGCAGTTGCTGCCACTGCTTCATCACTCTTGCTCATCTGCTTCAGGAGGTACAGCAGGGAGGAGGACAGGTCTACGATGCTGCCACCTCCTTCACCTCTGCAGATTTGACATCAGAGGAGAACAAGAGCGAACTGTCATATCTGCCATGTAGGATTATACAGAAGATGCGTCTTCCTGCTGGTGATGCTTTACAAACAGAAATATTTGTTTTATAAATACAACAAAGGCAACCAGGAGTAAGGTTGAAATTGATGGTGTCTCCT